AATTATAGACCACTGGTGCAGTGACAACAGAATTATAGACCACTGGTGCAGTGACGACAATTATAGACCATTGGTGAAGTGACGACAGAATTATAGACCACTGGTGCAGTGACGACAGAATTATAGACCACTGGTGCAGTGACGACAGAATTATAGACCACTGGTCAGTGACAACAGAATTATAGACCACTGGTGCAGTGACAACAGAATTATAGACCACTGGTGCAGTGACAACAGAATTATAGACCACTGGTGCAGTGACAACAGAATTATAGACCACTTGTGCAGTGACAACAGAATTATAGACCACTGGTGCAGTGACAACAGAATTATAGACCACTGTGGCAGTGACAACAAAATTATAGACCACTGGTGCAGTGACAACAGAATTATAGACCACTGGTGCAGTGACGACAATTATAGACCATTGGTGAAGTGACGACAGAATTATAGACCACTGGTGCAGTGACGACAGAATTATAGACCACTGGTGCAGTGACGACAGAATTATAGACCACTGGTCAGTGACAACAGAATTATAGACCACTGGTGCAGTGACAACAGAATTATAGACCACTGGTGCAGTGACAACAGAATTATAGACCACTGGTGCAGTGACAACAGAATTATAGACCACTGGTGCAGTGACAACAGAATTATAGACCACTGGTGCAGTGACAACAGAATTATAGACCACTGGTGCAGTGACAACAGAATTATAGACCACTGGTGCAGTGACGACAGAATTATAGACCACTGGTGCAGTGACGACAGAATTATAGACCACTGGTGCAGTGACAACAGAATTATAGACCACTGGTGCAGTGACAACAGAATTATAGACTACTGGTGCAGTGAGGACAGAATTATTGACCACTGGTGCAGTGACAACAGAATTATTGACCACTGGTGCAGTGACAACAGAATTATAGACCACTGGTGCAGTGACAACAGAATTATAGACCACTGGTGCACTGACGACAATTATAGACCACTGGTGCAGTGACGACAGAATTATAGACCACTGGTGCAGTGACAACAGAATTATAGACCACTGGTGCAGTAACAACAGAATTATAGACCACTGGTGCAGTGACAACAGGATTATTGACCACTGGTGCAGTGACAACAGAATTATTGACCACTGGTGCAGTGACAACAGAATTATAGACCACTGGTGCAGTGACAACAGAATTATAGACCACTGGTGCAGTGACAACAGAATTATAGACCACTGGAGCAGTGACAACAGAATTATAGACCACCGGTGCAGTGAGGACAGAATTATTGACCACTGGTGCAGTGACAACAGAATTATTGACCACTGGAGCCGTGACAACAGAATTATAGACCACTGGAGCCGTGACAACAGAATTATAGACCACTGGAGCCATGATAACAGAATTATAGACCACTGGAGCCGTGACAACAGAATTATAGACCACTGGAGCAGTGACAACAGAATTATAGACCACTGGAGCCGTGACAACATTAACGTACAGCACTGTGAAAGCTTCATGTCCCGTGACTCGGTTGGTAGCGCACTCAGCTCACACATTGAGGTCCGTGGTTCGATCCCCGGTGCGGGTGGAAACATTACGTCGTGTTTCCTTAAGACACCTGCTGTCCCTGTTCACCTAGCAGTAATTAGGTACCTGGATGTTAGTCGACTAGTGTGGGTCGCATCCTGGGGACAAAATTGACCTAATTTGCCCGAAATGTTCTGCATAATAAACGGCTTTTGTAAATAGTAGTATGTCATTGATGTGAGCTATGGTCTGTATAAGTTGCATCATGTACTTGTAGAAATAAAGATTATTATTATGATTATTATTATTATTATTATTATTATTATTATTATTATTATTCTCTGTTATTGCCTGTTCAGCCAGACTGGTTGCTGCTGGTGGCACAACACAGCCAACACAGCCTGGTTGATCTGGCACTTGGTGGCGGTAGTGATCCAGTTTCCTCATGAAGATTTTCACATCTATCTGAGGCAGGTTGAAGAGTCTTGGACCACGCATGTTGACATGGTGCTCTGTTATTGTGTCCCTTGCTTTTCACTGGGCTTATTATTATAATTTTGGACAAAAGGCGCTAAACTCGTATGGGTTGTACAGCCCTAGTGTTTTAAAGCACATGGAAAACAGTCTCTCGTATCCCCCATTCTTTTTTATTAGCAAATCAAATTGTACGACTTAGAATATAAGAGAGAGAGAGAGAGAGAGAACGTTAGGGTTGAAAAAGGGAGAGGGTGAGGGGTCGGGATGGTAAGGGATAGAGGAAGGGAGGATGACAAGTAAGGGTTGGGTGAGCGAGGGTAAGATTGAGAGGATAAGAGAGAAAGAGAGAGAGAGAGAGAGAGAGAGAGAGGCCTCTCTAACCAAGCTTTCCCAAACAGGAAATTTCATAGGGTTTGTGTGGAGGACACGAAGCCACCAATAACTTGGACTTTTAATCTGTCTCCATTTTTTTTGACGAGGGAAGGAGATAGATGGAGGGGACGAAATGGATTGAAAAGAGAAGACAGATAAAGGGAAACGGTGAAAACAGAGGTCACACTTGAGCGTTAGAGAAACAGGGTTCACCAACGGGTAGCAAACATCATGGAAACAACGAGAGAAGTGAAAAAATTTTGTGAGTGGATTATACACATCAGAATCAATAAATCACGACTGTCACCTTAGAGTGACTTTGTAAATGGTCCAAGTCGGACCGAAACGTCGTGGTAAGCTCCTCCTGCGTGCTAGTTATTTGTGTATTGTCGCCATGGATTCTGAGAGATGCAGCAGAAGCACTGAACCTCTGGATAAATCCTACAAATCAACTGATACGACACAGTTGCAAGAATTCTGGGAGACAGCCAATAAAGTCCCAGTTTAAAGACTAAAGGAGGGGAGGTACAGAAAGTTGCAAAGCGCAGACAGGTATTCCCTGAGATGTATACCATGCAAGGCAACAGAGATATAGATAAATGATTCAGAAAACCCAAGGGGTGATGAGTTTAAACATTTGTTCAACGCTTGGGTGTCTACTGTGGAAACGTTTCGCCAGCCAGTGGCTTCCTCAGTTCAGTGTTTTGGACTGAAGAAGTATTGGCTGGCGAAATGTTTTGACAACAAAGATACAACGGAAAACATGAACAAAGCTCCTGTTGAGCGAAACGTTGCCACAATAAAAATGTTGCATTGGTTGCACTTGTGTCCTTATACCTAACAATAATTAGCAAGGCTTTAAAGATAGCAAATCTTACTCACAGATTTGCTGGAGCTCCATGACAGAGTGAGAGAGATGAGGCAGGAGAGAGAGAGAGAGAGAGAGAGAGAGAGAGAGAGAGAGAGAGAGAGAGAGAGAGAGAGAGACGTAGGCTGCAAAAGAAAGCCATTAGGTAATGTGCCAGACCATGGAGCTGAACTCTTCTCCAGGCTGAGGGACTGACCACCTCAAATACTATTTCTTCAAGTGTGATGGACTGATCATGCCATCTTTATGTCACTACTACACCTACAGCCTCTGTATCTGACTGAAGAAGCCTGCTGTGTAGGCGATACCCTACTGTCGCACACGTGTCTGAATCTTCAACTTGTCCCTATTTTAACAAATTTCAACGTACTGTACCTCACACGAGACTTGGTCCTAAACTTGACGAGTACGAAAATTAGCAATGACTTTTGGTGTATCAAGGAACATTTTACAGAAAGGAGGTTGAGTGATTATTCCGAGAAAAGACCGGAACAAGTTCTAGATACAGTCTCGTGTGAGTGTAATGTCGGATTAATTGAAGGTTCGACGGCCGTCTTCGAAAATGAATGGAAATCAGTTCACATTCGATCGTTATGTACCTAGTTTATGTTCGTTATGTACTTAGTTTATGCTCGTTATGTACGTAGTTTATGTTCGTTATGTACGTAGTTTATGTTCGTTATGTATTAGTTTGTTCGTTATGTACCTAGTTTATGTTCGTTATGTACCTAGTTTATGTTGATTATGTACCTAATTTGTTCGTTATGTACCTATTTTCTTCGGTATGTATCTAGTTTTTGTTCGTTATGTACCTAGTTTATATTCGCTGTGCTCCTAATTTCTGTTCGTTATGCTCCTAATTTCTGTTCGCTATGCTCCTAATTTACGCCCAGAGGATGGAGTCCCACCAATAGATCAAAGAGATGTTTCCATTTACGTCTGTGAATCCCCATGCAACTCTATTCAAAGGGTCTAAATGCACTTACGGGAACCCAGACTGTTATCAAACGCCTTTTGTTTTACAAATGTCAACATAGGATCAATGGAAACGTTAAACTTTAATGTCGATATCAACAATTTGTAAATGTTTATATGGGCCAGAATGTAGGGTATACGATGGAAATTTGTAAAAAATATTTCTGAAAACGTGTTTGTTTTCACAGCAATTGGGGAATCAGACAATAGAACGCCCGTGAAAGTAATTGTTGGCGTTCCTTTGACAGTTCATTGTATGCCTCATCTGTCTCATTGTGCAACTACCATCATTCCTATTGTTGCAGTGTATTGCATTCACCAAGTCGTAGAACGAAGGTTTGTATAGTATTGCTACAACTTAAAAAAAAATGGTCGTGACTCACGAAATCGTAATAACACGATTGGAAATAGATCACAGAACGAATGGTTAACGCAGTAGCTTGTGAGTTTAATTACTCATTTGCCATGAGTTCAAACCCTCACTCTTTTCGCGATTATTTTTGTCAAAGGGTTGGTGCTTGGAGAGAAAGAGAGAGAGAGAGACTACGTGGTTTACTGATCTGGAGTTTTAACAACTCACTCGCCATAAATCCCCACCCGTTCCGTGGTTTGAAACTACGTGGCCCCTCTACTTTGTGTATTTTTTAAAGAGTGTTTTGACGCATAGTGACGAGTGTTGGTGTTATTTGTTAGAGATGTTCAGTGTCTGATATGTCACGAGGACAGACTTGAATGTATCATTTGCCCGAGATCTTCGTAGACCGTGTAGTGCCTGGTTACTAGGCCTATCGTGCATCCATTTACTTTTGCACCACCGTCAACGAGATGGATATAGGATGTACAATACACTGGAGGCTACCGTCCACAGGATGGATATGGAGTGCTCAGTAAACTGGACGCTACCGTCCACAGGATGGATATGGAGTGCTCAGTAAACTGGACGCTACCGTCCACAGGATGGATATGGAGTGCGTAATAGTCTTGCCAGTTTGGAGAAACTAAAAATATAAATAAATAATTTATTCGCTGGAAGGCGCTAAATCCGTAGGGGTAACAAAGCTCTATGAGAACGAGAGATAATCAAGTGGGGAACAGCTCTTCGGAAAGAAAGTTTTCCTCTGTGAAAGCTCTCTAAGAGTCTCGTCTTTTCTACTTCAGGCAACAAGTCGAATGAAAAAACAATTGACATTAAGCTCTCTTATAAAACTATTGTACATAGTGCGCCTTTTTTCCGAATCCAATTGGAAAAAAAAATCCAAAATTTAATAGAACTTATTGTAAAGACCTTTGTAAGCTATTAAATTTTGGATACATTTTTTCAATAATTTCCAGAAAAAAACGCATTATTTTATACGTTAGTGTTTACTGTATTGCTATATTTAAAAAGTGTTTACTCTATTGTTATATTCAAAAAGTGTTCAATGCACTTTCTGGAGTTATTCCTTTTAAATATGAAATTTTGTGGTGTTGACACAGACGACTACACTCGGGAGGAGCGGTACCACGGGCGTCTTCAGCTCCGTCGAAGTAACATGTCAAACATCGAGCGAGCGCGGACCAGGACTCTCAGAATGACCTTTATCATCGTTATGGCCTTCGTCTGGTGCTGGACGCCCTACGCCCTCGCCACCCTGTGGTAGGTGACATTTACTGGCAGCAGCCTACCCTGCCTGCTACTACTGCTGCTGCTGCTGCTGCTGCAGGGTGATGATGTTGTGTGTGGTGCGGATGACCTGCCTGAGACCTGCTTCAGATGATGTCTGGTGTTCAGGTGACGTGGTTCAAGTCTGCTTGCCTGCATGGGACTTGTTTAGGTGACGTGTATTTTTTTAGGTGCTGTAGGTGATCTGCGTAGGACTTGCTCTGGGTATTTAGGTAATGTAGATTGTTCATTTAAATGTTCTTTTACTCTTTCAAGAACTCGCTTTTTTTCCAAAGGTGCTTCAAGTGAACTATTCTTACTGCCCCCTCAAGGAAGGTTCCTTGATGTTGGTGAGGGGCTCTTGATTTAGGGAATTGGATCTGTGCTCCAGTTCCCCGAATTAAGCCTGAATGCCTTCCACATCCCTCCCCAGGCCTGTATAATCCTCCGGGTTTAGCGCTTCCCCCTTGATTATAATAATAATAATATTCTTGCTGCCTCCTAGAACTAAATTATTATTATTATTATTATTATTATTATTATTATTACCTACCGCTAAACTTACTGGGGTCATACAGCTCAACAACTACATCAGTCGTATTGACATCTAGCTTTACTGTTTCCTACAGGAGCTACATCAAATATCTTGACACGTATCCTTGCTGCCTCATACAGGAACTCATCGACCCCGAGACCTTCTACAGCATGAACAAGCACGTCCAGGACATTCTGTTCATCATCGCCGTCAGCAACTCCGTGGTCAACCCCATCATCTACGGGAGGTACTCCATCAACTGCTGCCGCGACTTGTGGAACCGCTCGGGCAGCCTCTGCTGCTACTGCTGCTGGTGCTGGTGCTGCTCCTGCTGCTGCGCCTCCCCCAAGCACACCCTCCTGGCTGCTCCCCCTCCGCCAAACGTCAACTTCTACAAGAGCAACGGGCACTGTCAAGGTAGGTCCTCTTTGACCGCCTTTTGGGGGTACTCTTTGTCCTCTTGGGTATTCTTTGCCCTCTTGAAATATTCTTTGTCTTGGGGTACTCTCTCCCTCTCTCCCTCCCTTCCTCTCTTCCACCTTCCTTCCTTCCCTCTATCTCCTCTTCCTCCAAGACCAGCCCTGCCTTACCTCTCACCATGATCGACCTCTCCCCCCTCCAAGACCAGCCCTGCCTTACCTCTCACCATGATCGACCTCTCCCCCTCCAAGACCAGCCCTGCCTTACCTCTCACCATGATCGACCTCTCCCCCCTCCAAGACCAGCCCTGCCTTACCTCTCACCATGATCGACCTCTCCCCCCTCCAAGACCAGCCCTGCCTTACCTCTCACCATGATCGACCTCTCCCCCCTCCAAGACCAGCCCTGCCTTACCTCTCACCATGATCGACATCTCCCCCTCCAAGACCAGCCCTGCCTTACCTCTCACCATGATCGACCTCTCCCCCCTCCAAGACCAGCCCTGCCTTACCTCTCACCATGATCGACCTCTCCCCCTCCAAGACCAGCCCTGCCTTACCTCTCAACATGATCGACCTCTCCCCCCTCCAAGACCAGCCCTGCCTTACCTCTCACCATGATCGACCTCTCCCCCCTCCAAGACCAGCCCTGCCTTACCTCTCACCATGATCGACTCATCCCCCCTCCAAGACCAGCCCTGCCTTACCTCTCAACATGATCGACCTCTCCCCCCTCCAAGACCAGCCCTGCCTTACCTCTCACCATGATCGACCTCTCCCCCCTCCAAGACCAGCCCTGCCTTACCTCTCACCATGATCGACCTCTCCCCCCCTCCAAACCAGCCCTGCCTTACCTCTCACCATGATCGACCTCTCCCCCCTCCAAGACCAGCCCTGCTTTACCTCTCACCATGATCGACCTCTCCCCCCTCCAAGACCAGCCCTGCCTTACCTCTCAACATTGATCGACCTCTCCCCCTCCAAGACCAGCCCTGCCTTACCTCTCACCATGATCGACCTCTCCCCCTCCAAGACCAGCCCTGCCTTACCTCTCACCATGATCGACCTCTCCCCCCTCCAAGACCAGCCCTGCCTTACCTCTCACCATGATCGACCTCTCCCCCCTCCAAGACCAGCCCTGCCTTACCTCTCACCATGATCGACCTCTCCCCTCCAAGACCAGCCCTGCCTTACCTCTCACCATGATCGACCTCTCCCCCCTCCAAGACCAGCCCTGCCTTACCTCTCACCATGATCGACCTCTCCCCCCTCCAAGACCAGCCCTGCCTTACCTCTCACCATGATCGACCTCTCCCCCCTCCAAGACCAGCCCTGCCTTACCTCTCAACATGATCGACCTCTCCCCCCTCCAAGACCAGCCCTGCCTTACCTACTCACCATGATCGACCTCTCCCTCCTCCAAGACCAGCCCTGCCTTACCTCTCAACATGATCGACCTCTCCCCCTCCAAGACCAGCCCTGCCTTACCTCTCACCATGATCGACCTTCCCCCCTCCAAGACAGCCCTGCTTACCTCTCCCATGATCGACCTCTCCCCCTCCAAGAACCAGCCCTGCCTTACCTCTCACCATGATCGACTCTCCCCCCTCCAAGACCAGCCCTGCCTTACCTCTCACCATGATCGACCTCTCCCCCCTCCAAGACCAGCCCTGCCTTACCTCTCACCATGATCGACCTCTCCCCCCTCCAAGACCAGCCCTGCCTTACCTCTCACCATGATCGACCTCTCCCCCCTCCAAGACCAGCCCTGCCTTACCTCTCACCATGATCGACCTCTCCCCCCTCCAAACCACCCTGCCTATACCTCTCACCATGATCGACCTCTCCCCCTCCAAGACCAGCCCTGCCTTACCTCTCACCATGATCGACCTCTCCCCTCCAAGACCACCCCTGCCTTACCTCTCACCATGAATCGACCCTCTCCCCCCTCCAAGACAGCCCTGCCTTACCTCTCACCATGATCGACCTCTCCCCCCTCCAAGACCAGCCCTGCCTTACCTCTCACCATGATCGACCTCTCCCCCCTCCAAGACCAGCCCTGCCTTACCTCTCACATGATCGACCTCTCCCCCCCCAAGACCAGCCCTGCCTTACCTCTCACCATGATCGACCTCTCCCCCTCCAAGACCAGCCCTGCCTTACCTCTCAACATGATCGACCTCTCCCCCCTCCAAGACCAGCCCTTTGCCTTACCTCTCACCATGATCGACCTCTTCCCCCCTCAAGACCAGCCCTGCCTTACCTCTCACCATGATCGACCTCTCCCCCCTCCAAGACAATCCCTGCGATGTACGCTCACAATGATCGACCTCTTCTTTCCAATCCAAAACAGTTAGCCTCTGGGCATTACCTCCATGACGGACTCTTCCCCTCCAAGAACATGCGTACCTTCACCATGATCGACCTCTCCCCCTCCAAGACCAAACCCTCCTTACTCTCACCATGTCTGACCCTCTCTCCTAAACCACCTTTCCTTACTCCAACATGATCGACCTCTCCCCCCTCCAAGACCAGCCCTGCCTTACCTCTCACCATGATCGACCTCTCCCCTCCAAGACCACCCCTGCCTTACCTCTCACCATGATCGACCTCTCCCCCCTCCAAGATCAGCCCTGCCTTACCTCTCACCCTGATCGACCTCTCCCCCCTCCAAGACCAGCCCTGCCTTACCTCTCACCATGATCGACCTCTCCCCCCTCCAAGACCAGCCCTGCCTTACCTCTCACCATGATCGACCTCTCCCCCCTCCAAGACCAGCCCCTTGCCTTACCTCTCACCATGATCGACCTCTCCCCCCTCCAAGACCAGCCCTGCCTTACCTCTCAACATGATCGACCTCTCCCCCCTCCAAGACCAGCCCTGCCTTACCTCTCACCATGATCGACCTCTCTCCCCTCCAAAACCAGCCCTGCCTTACCTCTCAACATGATCGACCTCTCCCCCCTCCAAGATCAATGTAATCTGGCTGTGAGATGAGTGGAGTGGAGAGAGAATCTCGGCTGGGAGCCAGATCTTTATTTCAATATACGAAAAAGTATAGTATGGGAGCAGATGTCAGAGCCGGATAGCGGTGGAGCCTGATAGGGAAATGTGTTTTTACTCCTTGAATGTTTTATTCTGTCCTCTGCTTTCTGTTGATTTTCCATTCTCTTTCAATTATCTCTATATATCGATACACTGTACTATTCTGTCACGCTGATACATTGTGCTGATACACAGTGATGATACATTTCTCTATTGTGTTAATACGTTGATATACTGGGATACATACGTTGATATACTGGGATACATACGTTGATATACTGGGATACATACGTTGATATACTGGGATACATACGTTGATATACTGGGATACATACGTTGATATACTGATATACATACGTTGATATACTGGGATACATACGTTGATATACTGGGATACATACGTTGATATACTGGGATACATACGTTGATATACTGGGATACATACGTTGATATACTGGGATACATACGTTGATATACTGGGATACATACGTTGATATACTGGGATACATACGTTGATATATTTTGCTAATATAGTGATATGATTTGTTGAGGAGGAAGCGAGGTAGAGGGTAGGCCAGGTGCCAGTGATGTGATGCCACACTACTGCCAGGTGGCACTACTAGGCTTACTAGAGTGGAATATGGTATACAAAAAAAAGGCTCTTTCCCTCCTGCTAAGACTCGTCTTCTTTCCTTCCTTCTAAGATTCATCTTTCCTTCCTTCTAAGATTCATCTTCCCTCCTTCTAAGATTCATCTTCCCTCCTTCTAAGATTCATCTTCCCTCCTTCTAAGATTCATCTTCCCTCCTTCTAAGATTCATCTTCCCTCCTTCTAAGATTCATCTTCCCTCCTTCTAAGATTCATCTTCCCTCCTTCTAAGATTCATCTTCCCTCCTAAGACTAATCTTTCTTCCCTCCCTCCTTCTAGCACTCATTTGCCTTCCCTTCCTCCTTCTAGGACTCGTCTTCTCTCCCTCCTTCCTTCTAAGATTCGTCTTCCCTCCCTCCCTTCTTCTAACACTCATCTTCCCTCCCTCCCTCCCTCCCTCCCCCTACCATCCAGTTCCTCTCGCTTCCTCCAGAACTTACATACCTTCCCATTTCCAACTATGAGTCTTTTCCCTTTGTCTCCCTACCACCCACTCATCCACTCACTCAAATCAATTCCACCTACTTCGTTCCTGCCCGAAGCCTGGGGGAGAGAGTATGAAGATATTACTGATGCAATAAACCCCACAGACGCGAAGGCTTCTGGGACTCCTGGCAATAATAAAGCCTCCTACGATTGACCGAGGTGATAACAAGAGCAAGAGGCGAAGTGTCAGCAACTCTTTGCAAGAGGAACCTGCCAAGTGATGGATGGTTTGGATGGAGGGGAGGAAGAGACTAGCAAGAGTAACTAAGAGACAATGAGAAGGAGAGAGGATGAAGTGTGGAAGAGCTAGAATTATGACTATTGGATTGTTAGCATTGTTTCTGGTATTTTGCATTGAATATTCGGAGAACTCAGAAACATAGCGCAGTGTTAAGACTTAATGTTGTCTGCCAGACATAGTTGTGAGAACTTTCTTGAGGACGTGAGCTGGGTGTTAAAGATCAGTCCCAGATCTTTGTCTCGCGAAATCAAAATATATATATATATATAATTATTATATATATATATATTATAATATTTATATATATTTTATATATATATATATAAAATATATATATATATATATGTATATATGAATGTATGAAAGTATAGTATACAACCTCTTATATGGGTGTGAAGCTTGGGTGGTAAATGCAGCAGCGAGGAGACGGTTGGAGGCAGTGGAGATGTCCTGTTTAAGGCAATGTGTGGGGGTAAATATTTGCAGAAAATTCGGAGTGTGGAAATTAGGAGAAGGTGTGGAGTTAATAAAAATTTAGTCAGAGGGCAGCGAGGGGTTGTTGAGGTGGTTTGGTCATTTAGAGAGAATGGATCAAAGTAGAATGACATGAAAGCATTAAATCTATAGGGGAAGGAAGGAGGGTAGGGGTCATCCTCGAAAGGGGTTTGGGAAAAAGGGGGTTAAAGGAGGTTTTGTGGGCGAGGGGCTTGGACTTCCAGCAAGCGTGCATGAGCGTGTTAGATAGGAGTGAATGGAGACGAATGATACTTGGGACCTGCGATCTGTTGGATCGTCCTGCCAGATGATGTGAAACAAAAACCTGTAACTGTTTTGCATGATGGTAGGATTGTGGTTTCTTTTTCTGTCTCATAAACACCCTTAAGATTAAAAGGGATATCTTGCTACTCCTACTTACACTTTGGTCACACTTCACAACACGCACATGCATATATATATTTTACATACATCTGGTTTTTCTCCTTTTTCTAAATAGCTCTTGTTCTTTTTTTTTTCTTCTATTGTCCATGGGGAAGTGGAAAAGAAAACTTTCCTCCGTAAGCCATGCGTGTCGTATGAGGCGACTAAAATGCCGGGAGCAATTTGGGGTAGTAACCCCTTCTCCTGTATACAATTACTAAAAAAGAGAAGAAGAAAAACTTTATAAAACTGGGTTGCTTAAATGTGCGTGGATGTAGTGCGGATGACAAGAAACAGAGATTGCTGATGTTATGAATGAAAAGAAGTTGGATGTCCTGGCCCCAAGCGAAACAAAGCTGAAGGGGGTAGGAGAGTTTCAGTGGGGGGAAATAAATGGGATTAAATCTGGAGTATCTGAGAGAGTTAGAGCAAAGGAAGGGGTTTGCAGTAATGTTAAATGATCAGTTATGGAAGGGAGAAAAGAGAATATGAATGTGTAAATTCAAGAATTATGTGGATTAAAGTAAAAGGGTTGGATGCGAGAAGTGGGTCATAATAAGCGTGTATGCACCTGGAGAAGAGAAAATGCAGAGGAGAGAGAGAGATTTTGGGAGATGTTAAGTGACTGTATAGGAGCCTTTGAACCAAGTGAGAGAGTAATTGTGGTAGGGGACTTGAATGCTAAAGTAGGAGAAACTTTTAGAGAGGGTGTGGTAGGTAAGTTTGGGGTGCCAGGTGTAAATGATAATGGGAGCCCTTTGATTGAACTTTGTATAGAAAGGGGTTTAGTTATAGGTAATACATATTTTAAGAAAAAGAGGAAAATAAGTATACACGATATGATGTAGGGCGAAATGACAGTAGTTTGTTGGATTATGTATTGGTAGATAAAAGACTGTTGATAGACTTCAGGATGTACATGTTTATAGAGGGGCCACAGATATATCAATCACTTTCTAGTTGTAGCTACACTGAGAGTAAAAGGTAGAGGGGATACAAGGAGAATAGAAGCATCAGGGAAGAGAGAGGTGAAGGTTTATAAACTAAAAGAGGAGGCAGTTAGGGTAAGATATAAACAGCTATTGGAGGATAGATGGGCTAATGAGAGCATAGGCAATGGGTCGAAGAGGAAAGGGTAGTTTAAAAATGTAGTGTTAGAGTGTTCAGCAGAAGTTTTGTGTTACAGGAAAGTGGGTGCAGAAGAAGAGGAGCGATTGGTGGAATGATGATGTAAAGAGAGTAGTAAGGAGAAAAAGTTTAGCATATGAAAGTTTTTACAAAGTAGAAGTGATGCAAGGGGAAGAGTAAATGGAAAAAAGAGAAAGTTAAGAGAGTGGTGAAGCAATGTAAAAAGAGAGCAAATGAGAGAGTGGGTGAGATTGTATCAACAAATTTTGTTGAAAATAAGAAAAAGTTTTGGAGTGAGATTAACAAGTTAAGAAAGCCTAGAGAACAAATGGATTTGTCAGTTAAAAATAGGAGAGGAGAGTTATTAAATGGAGAGTTAGAGGTATTGGGAAGATGGAAGGAATATTTTGAGGGAAATTGTTAAATGTTGATGAAGATAGGGAAGCTGTGAATTTCGTGTATAGGCAAGGAGGAATAACATCTTGTAGGAGTGAGGAAGAGCCATTGTGAGTGTGGGGGAAGTTCGTGAGGCAGTAGGTAAAATGAAAGGGGTAAGGCAGCCGGGATTGATGGATAAAGATAGAAATGTTTTAAAAACAGTGGGGATATAGTTTTGGAGTGGTTGGTGCAATTATTTAATAAATGTATGGAAGAGGGTAAGGTACCTAGGATTGGCAGAGACATGCATATTCCTTTGTATAAAGGCAAAGGGGATAAAAGAGAGTGCAAAAATTATAGGGGATAAGTCTGTTGAGTGTACCTGTAAAGTGTATGGTAAGTTATAATTGAAAGAATTAAGAGTAAGACGGAGAATAGATAGCAGATGAACAAGGAGGCTTTAGGAAAGGTAGGGGGTGTGTGGACCAGGTGTTTACAGTAAACATATAAGTGAACAGTATTTAGATAAGGCTAAAGAGGTCTTTGTGGCATTTATGGATTTGGAAAAGGCGTATGACAGGGTGGATAGGGGGCAATGTGGCAGATGTTGCAAGTGTAGGTGTAGGAGGTAGGTTACTGAAAGCAGTGAAGAGTTTTTACGAGGATAGTGAGGCTCAAGTTAGAGTATGTAGGAAAGAGGGAAATTTTTTCCCAGTAAAAGTAGGCCTTAACAAGGATGTGTGATGTCACCGTGTTGTTTAATATATTTATAGATGGGTTGTAAGAGAAGTAAATGCGAGGGTCTTGGCAAGAGGCGTGGAATTAAAAGATAAAGAATCACACACAAAGTGGGAGTTGTCACAGCTGCTCTTTGCTGATGACACTGTGCTCTGGAGATTCTGAAGAGAAGTTGCAGAGATTGGTGGATGAATTTGGTAGGTGTGCAAAAGAAGAAAATTAAAGGTGAATACAGGAAGAGTAAGGTTATGAGGATAACAAAAAGATTAGGTGATGAAAGATTGAATATCAGATTGGAGGGAGAGAGTATGGAGGAGGGGAACGTATTTAGATATTTGGGTGGGACGGTCAGCGGATGGGGCATGAAAGATGAGGGGAATCATAGAATTGATGAGGAAAAAGAGTGAGTGGTGCACTTAGAGTCTGTTTGGGGAAAAAAGAACTTTGTCCTGGAGGCAAAGAGGGGGAAAGTATGAGAAGTATAGTTTTACCAAAGCTCTTATATGGGGGTGAAACGTGGGTGATGAATGTTGCAGCGAGGAGAAGGCTGGAGGCAGGGAGATGTCATGTCTGAGGGCAATGTGTGGGGGGGAATATAATGCAAGAATTCGTAGTTTGGAAGTTAGGAGGAAGGTGCGGGATACCAAAACTATTGTCCAAGGGCTGAGGAAGGGTTGTTGAGGTGTTCGGACAGTAAGAGAATGGAGCGAAACAGAATGACTTCAAGAGTGTATCATCTGTAAGTGGGAAAGGGAAAGGGGGGTAGGGTCGGCTAGGAAGGGTTGGAGGGAGGGGTAAAGGGGGTTTTGTGTGCGAGGGGCTTGGACTTCCAGCAGGCATGCGTACGTGTTTGATAGGATGAATGGAGACAAATGGTTTTAATACTTGACGTGCTGTTGGAGTGTGAGCAAAGTAACATTTATGAAAGGGATTCAGGGAAACCGGCAGGCCGACTTGAGTCCTGGATGGGAAGTACAGTGCCTGCCCCTCTGAAGGAGGGTGTTAATGTTGCAGTTTAAAAACTGAGTGTAAAAGCACCCTTCTGGCAAGACAGTGATGGAGTGAATGATGGGGAAAGTTTTTCTTTTTCGGGCCACCCTGCCTTGGTGGGAATCGGCCGGTGTGATAATAAAAAAATAATTCGGGGAAACCCGGTTATTTTCTTATAGTCGACTTGGTCCTGGAAATGGAAGTACAAGCCTGCTTTTTAAAAGGGAGGGTTTGGGATTTTGGCATTTGAGGATATGTTATGTATCTCTATACGTATATGCTTCTAAACTGTTGTATTCTGACACCTCCCCAAAAACATGATAATGTGTGAGTGTGGTGAAATGTTGAATGATGATGAAAGTATTTTCTTTTTGGGGATTTGTTTCTTTTTTGGGTCACCCTTTCCTCGGTGGGAGCCCGACCAACTTGTTGAAATATTTAATATATATATATATATATAATATATAATATATATATATATATATATATATAATATATATATATATATATATATATATAAATATATATATACACAAACAGGAGTAAATGAAATTAGCTCAGAGGCGTCCACGCCACCGTATGTCCTTCGATGGTGGGTGCAACATCTAGCTTGACTGGATGCACCATTGTTAAGGATTGTGTGGTCTAGTGGTCTAAAGCGTCATGCGTTTTCTCTCACCATGAGGCAGGCCAAAATAGCATGGGTTCGACACCTTGGCTAGTGCAGTGTTGTTATTGATCAATACCACTTGTTCCGTGGGTATATATATATATATATATAATAATATTATATATTATAGTTATATATGCATCTGCTGCATATTTTTGTATTTAGTTTGATCATCTGTGTGTCTACCAGACTGCCAGAAATCTCAGTAGTACCAGTTACCAGTTACCAGTAGTATGACTCACTACCAACCGTCTGTGTGAATCACTGACTGTTAATCATGTTGCTGCTGACCATAGCAAGTTTTCAAACGCAGCTCACCCCGTAGGCTTCACTGGTGAGTCAGTCTCAAGATAGGGAGCAGAGAGGCAGAGCGGGTGATGGTGCTTCCCATACTTTCCGTATAATTATACGTACTAACCAGCCTTCGTGAGTGTTTTTACCCCCTCCACGTTTCGAATCCACATGACAGAAATACTTGTAACCAAGGCTAACCCTGGCTGTTGTAGCAGCCAGGGTTAGTCACTTACAATGTGATATCACATTGTAAGTTGCTCCGTAAACATGCTTATCTACGTTCATGTTAACATAGTGAGTGTTAGATGTACTCAGACCTCTGACTCCATTTCTATGGCATTCACTTTGAATATTTACTTTTTTCCTAATATTGTTCGTAATGCTAGAGACAGATATACCAGAGTTATAGTCTAGAGTTTCCTCCAGCGGACTTTCTTTGGCTCACCTATCTACTTTGTTATGAAGGAGTAATTTCAGTGTTAGTGGCATCCTTAAGAATTGTACATTAATGCCTCTTTCTCATGATTTTTTTAGTATATCTGGCTCCTCCATTGAGTATGTTGTTAGTCATTATGCGAGTCAAGTGCCTTCACTGATGACACAGAATCAACAATAATTAAGAAATTAAGCTCCATTAGGATGGCAAATTATTCAGTATGTAGTGTAGAAGCAAGTTGTTAATTCTTATCCCTAACTCAATAAAGTTGCTATCGTTCTTAACTAGGGAGGTGACAACAAGAGCAGATACACTGCTGCCAGTAGACTCCCGCTTAGATCCATCAGTGTATGAGAAGTCAGATATATTATTACTAACAGTTAGGAGACAAATTTCTTCTTGAGTATTTGCCCTTGTAAGTGAGCTAAGGGCAACACTAGCGATGAACTTCTTGTAAGAGGCTTGAAGATATGTGATATTAAATAAACACAACTTCCATGGAGGGGTGAAACGCTTTTCTCTACAGTGACAGAGTTCGTACAGGTTATAAAACGTCATATAATTACATATTTTCACAACCCGTTTAAATCTGTTTATCTGAGAGCGGTAATTACATTTATAGCGAGAGTGTCTGGTTCATTCTAGCCAACGCGTCGCTCAGATGAGACATCTTACAACAAATGATATGCTCGTATCCATGATGTTAACCTGGCTGGTGGTACAGGTATCATGGCACCGCTAACCCCGATGACCGTGACCACGCTAGTTTCAAAATAGACTATATTTTTTTACATATATCAAAACTGACGTTCGTTTTCCACATCTCTGGCTACAGTGTCAGCCTGGCCATGAGGTTCCGTGTGGTCCAGTTGTCAGCCACAAATTAAGTGTTCTGTATCTAGTGTCCTCGAAACTTGACATTTTTTTACGTTAGCCATTTTTTCAAGGCCATTTTTAAAAAAAAACGTAAAGGTAATTCTGAAGTTTGAAATACTCGTAATTCACCATTACTTTATATAAATTATTAAGATTTTAGCTCATACCCTCAAAATGATAATTTGTGTCTATACAATTTAACATTATTTTTTACGTTAGGATGAAACCAGAGATTGGATAACCCAGCGGATGATTAACATCCGTGTCAGGTTATACCCGACCTGTTTCCTGACGAATAAAACTCTGAACACTTTCACCAGAACTGACAGATCGAGGCTTACTCTCGATCCCTTGTTG